AAAGTGACACGCTGCTGTTGTTGAGTCGATAAAAGTGACACGTTGTTGTTGTTGTCCTTGAGTCGATAAAAGTGACACGCTGTTGTTGAGTCGATAACAGTGACACGTTGTTGTTGTTGAGTCGATAAAAGTGACACGCTGCTGTTATGTGTTTAACCATCACGTTGTTGTTGAGAGATGTTGTTGACACCGCGGCCCGCTACAGCAGACTTTGTATCCGGTAAGCGGGGGGCTTTGCTTTGTCCGCTTTAAATAAAAATAAAAATCTACATTTTCCAATGAATCAAGAATTTGGCTATCTCGCGAAAGGAAAAGGAGAGGGCTTTAAGAATACCCAGCACATACTCAGCACGGCCAGCTCCTGGCATAGCTCGAAGTCCCATAGTTTACAGCACCTGCATGGTGAACCTGGTGGTGGTGGTAACTCCATCATCAGCTCAGGGCGGGTGCGGAAATTGGTCACAGGTGCGGTCCCCCAATTGTTGATTTGACTCGCATGGTGACACCTCGGCTATTGTATATCGCGCACGTATCTTGCGTTAATCACATCACTGCATTTTCGTGAATATAAAAAAAACACTTAAACCACGTTTTTAATAAGTTTTTATTTTATTTTAAATTGGCTGTTAAGGGGGATAAAACTAGTAGCTTTGCCCACCACGCTCGTTAGGCTACTGGGGGTAACCGGTCCATGTCACTGACCAGGCTACACTGTGCTTTGCTTGCGAGCTTCGGCGAGATCGGCGTGCCCCATTCCGTTGATATGGTCTTAGTCTATCACCTATCTGTCTGTCTCATTTATGGACGGCCCCTCATCCTTTCGTACAGTGGTGGGGGGGTAGTTATTTAGCGACGTGTATATGTTCACGTGGAGGTTGGCGAGTGAGGCCGTGGGAGACTTGCAGCAGTAGCTCTGGTGAATATCTCAAAGATTGAAGGCGGCAGTGGCGTTGCCGTGTGGTGCGTGGAGTGAGATTGGTGAACGCGGTCAGACCGTGGGTTCCCGGGATAAATCGCTCAAGGAATATGGCTCCCCTATCCACCCCCCACCCCCCACCACCCCGAGCGCTGCCCAGGAGTTGTGTGCTGAATATATTACTTTCCAGAGCTCAGCCCCGGGCAGCTCCATCCGAATCAAGCGCTGCCGTGGGCTTCTCTGAATTGCCCCTGAGGCGTAGGAGATAACCGTATCTGTGGCTGTGTGGTGATGCATCAATTATTGGGTTGGGTGAAGTGGGGGCGTGAAGGGGAAGGTGAGTAGCTGATCCACTCCAGAATGCAGCGTGTGTCACACCAGCCTCGCAAAGCACTCCAGCTCCCCCCCGACCCCCATTCAATCAACACGTTGCACGCGCGCGCGTGTGCGTGTGTCGTCTACGTCGACGAACGGACGGATTGCTGCCAAACTCTTAATCGTGCGCGTGCATCCCTCGGCTGGCGAGGCAACACGAGAAGAAAAAGGTTAGGTCGACCGTCGAACGTCGAACGCCGTTGACGTTGGTCCCATTAGGGTGGTGGGGGCGAGGGGGGGGTGTGGGCAGCTCGCTCAAGATGCGCCCGCGTCTAAAGTGTTGGTGCCACGCTGAAGTAGTCAGGGAGGGGTGTACATCTCTCCAATGCCCCCACCACCTCCCTCCGTCTCTCTCTCTCCTCTCTCTCTTCCCACCGATTCCTCAATTGGCCCTCTCGTGAGATTTTGCGCTCTTCGCAGGCCGGGGCGAGTGAGCGTTGCGTTGAGCCGAAGCGGGTTCGCTCTGTCTTTATCTTGACGGAGCGAGAGTTGTTTTGTGTGCACGATTGGAGGTTCGCGAGCGTTGAGTTTGGTGGGAGACAGCCGGAGGTTTTTGAAATAAAAATAAAAGTTGGTTTCTGTCTAAACTCTCCGTTTTATTTGACGGGGTAGAGATGCTGCCCGTGGTGTCATGATCAGCGCACTGGGCGTGGAATTGAGAGGTCGTCGGTGAGGTCATATCTCCCGGCACGGCCATCGAAATCAATGCGTAAATATCTGCGGACGTGACTTTGCCACAGCGAGTCGATCAAAAGGTCCACAAGTTGTGGGGTAAACCGTGGGTACCCCCATCTCTTCCAAGACGCCCGGTCAGCGTGGAAGAGTTGGCCGAACTCTCCTCTGCAATAGGCTCTCTCGGGCCTCTGTCTAGTAAAGGCGCTTCTACTGGCAGTGGCGTGAGCGAGCATTTGCAGGCCTGTACCTTTTCCCCCCACATCTATACACGGACCACCGTGTATTATAAGCACCGTGGATCGCTTCTGCAACGCACACACGAGTGAGTGAAATTATTGGAGGTCGATTTTCATGCCCGGGGACATGTAATGCTGACTCTTGTCAGTAATCATGCAAGACACGGGCGGGGTTGGTGGGACACCCAGAGATCATCGTGCATGGGGAGCGGTCAGCACGCAGCGCTGCGAAGTCCGGAGAGCCGAGTTCGATTCCCGCTCACGGCCACCAACACCAGTGACGATTATCTGAAGCGGTCTCGGGCCTCCCCTAGGTCGACTCAGCCTCAAAATGAGTAACTGGTTTGGTGTGTAAACATCGCCACTGGGGAGACAAAGGCGGTCGGGGCGCGGTGCTGGCCACTTACCCCCTACTGTGCTCGCTTACAGTACTTGCCCCAACAGTTTGTTACAATCTATACGGGGGATATTTGTCTTTGTATTTGTGACATCCACCTGCAGACATAACATATGGCCTGTATGAGGCAGTAACATCAAGTAGTTGTTTTTTTACCTCGTTGTGATGATCTGTTTCGTGTGCTCACATTTTATTAAGGCACACTGGTTTTCTCCCACATGTAAGAATGTTTACTTAATAAACTAACCATACGTGCTGAGCAGGGCCCTCTTCAAAAAGAGCCTCACGACTCAGTTGGAATTTCCTGGGGACATCATCAATCTTGTATTGCATGCACCAATGTAAAACTTGAATAGTGTTTTCAAGTCATCGCTTGGATCTCCCTGCGCAGAAGCTGAAGGCAATGGGCAATGACTCTCAACGTCCCGCATCCACTGCTCACCTGGCAGCATGGGTGGCTACGCCAGTTCGTCGAATGGCAGGTAGCCTGTGGTGAGGTGAAGCGTGGGTACACCCCGGTCTCTTCCAAGATGTCAGGCCAGCGTGGAAGAGTCGGCCCGAGCCCCCTTCTAGTGCGGTCTCTTTCACCAGCAGTAGCAGCAGCAATAAATTGCAGGGCTGCACCTTTACCCATTCGCTGCATTGAAGCAATACCTTGGTTAATGCCCTTACGAACACACCTATACTGTTACATACAAACTCAGCACGTTCGTCATTAACACGAGGAGCGGCCTCTAGGTGCTGTGACAAAGGGCCTTTGCCCAAAACGTCGCCTATTTATATACATTTCCTTTTAAGGCCACAGTGAGTGTTCATGACGATTGTGTTGAGTTTTTTTTTCTTGCTCGTAAACCACTTCCAATGGCAGGAGCATCACCGACATGACGTGTATACCATTACAGGACTGTTTGACATCCTGGAAATGTGCGAATGTGCGTACGCACCGCCCGTGATTATTTCTTACGGACGTCAAGTCAAGGAGGGGACTTGAGCGACGTGGCCTGTGATGGGCCGGGTGACACAGGACTTATTAGTTACTGCCTTCAGTCGCGCCGCGTTTGTGTCGAATCAATTTGTTCTTCTAACGCCACGTCGCAGATGTTGACGATGGGGGGGGGATTTGATTATGTATGAAAGATGCGGCTGCTTGTCCTGAGCTTTGGAAAAGGGGTAGGCGATCGCATTGACATTTTTCACCCCCTTCATATGTCGTTCTGTATTGAAGTCAGGATTTAATGAGCACATTTGGCTCGAGATTTCACTCGTGTGTACAATAAAAAAAGTATATACGATAATTTTGCAATGGTAATTTGCGTAGTACGAGAGCAGTGTGGTCGCTGGACCCACAGTGACCAGCGAGGGCCCTCCAGGCGCTCCGCGGGGCTGTCACGCAAACGCAGCTGGATCCGAATATATTGACGTTCACACCTTTTGCTTGGGACATTCATGTTTTGCTCATGATACTTAATTTCATAACGAAGTTAGGAAAACTACCCCGATTAAACTACCCTAACACTAAGATCTAAATGCCCTCTGTGGAAAGGGGAAAAAAAAACCTTATAGCTGTTAAAATAAAGTTGTTTTTAAATGTTTTACTAATAAGAATATATTTTGTAATCGTCATACGTAGAGAGAAGCGAATGCGTGTTGTGACCAGGGTTAGGGGTGCTGGGTGGTCTGCGGAAATGTTTGCATCGGCTGAGCGGTCCGTGGGGCCTAAAAAGTTGTGAGAACCATCGCACTTAGAGACATCGATAAAACAGGCCGTGGGTAAACTCGTCTAGAGCGTGGGTGTGGGTAAGGGCATATCAGCGAATTAGCATGCCGGGTATGGCCCCGGTGCAACGAATTTAATCAGAATATGTATTTATACCAGACGAATCCGATAAGCTATAAAGCTCTTTTATTCACGATAACTGGAGGCCACCCCCCCCCCCTCTCCCTCACCCACCCTCTTCATAGCCCCAACACCCGGGGGCGCTTCTGGCCCAGTGGGTCCCGGTGCAGTTTCACCGCCTGCACACCCGATAGCTACGCCACTGGAACATCCTAAGAAGTCGTCGGCACTGGCAATTTTTACTGTCACTTTTTACTGTTACTCTTACTGTCAATAAACCTGGTGATTGTGCACTTAATTAGACAATTATTTGGTGTGGGCACTTATTTGAAGTCTCCAGGTCTACGATAATTGCTGTGCTATAAAGAAGGGCTATTGCCCGAAACGTCACCTATTATAAATTGTTTTTCTTTTAAGGCCACACACACAGTATCATTGTCGAATGTTGAAAGTTTATGGTAACTGCTGATTGTCTATGGTACTCGTTCAACTGTGGGTAAAGAAAAAAGATATCACTAATGTCCAAAATGTCAAGTTAAATTATAATCAAGCACAAAATGTCAATAAAGGACACATAATCATATTTATATTGCCGATCACGATAATACAGAATGCCATCTTCACCATAAAAATCTACAGTTTTAATGAAGTTTGCAGTGCATTTAATGTGTTGTGTTTTTTTCTGCGGGCAAAGCCACATGTAACCATAATGTACATGTATTACAACCCTCTGTGGTCGATCACGATGTTCGTGTTGTGAACTCAACAGGGTTGGTAAATACGCGACCTATGTAGTGCAAGCAACGTGACAAAGACTGCTTCGCATGTGACGTTTATACAATAGCCTTTACAAGTACAATGCTCATTCGCGGCCAAACTTAACACGTATTCAGTCCACATTTCGGGTATCCTCCTCCTACTCCTCCTCCGACACACACACACATAGACAAAGGTCCCCCGTGTAGCATCTCAGACTGCTGGGGCAAGTGCTGTTAGCGAACACCTATGAAAGGCCAGTAGGACGCACGAGGGGTTGGGGGTGGTGGTGGTGGTGTAGCCAGAACCACGCCCGGCCGCCTTCGTCTCCCCACGCTGATGCTTTACACACCGCACACAGTTAACTCAATTGAGACTGAGTCTGCCTAGGGGAGGGAGGCTTAGGACCGGTTCAGATATCAATCGCCACTGATGTTATCTGTGGTCGGGAAATCGAACTTAGATGGCCGGGGTTCGAAATGCAGCGCGCTAACCACTGCGCCACCGCTCTACCCCTGAGACACACACACACACACGGACACACACATACACACACACACGAAGTTATATGTATATATAGTACAAGCCGCAGTCACAGAATGGTCACATGAAATGAACGATGGTCTATATGGAATATGTTGAGGCTGTCCAACTACCAGAGCGCGCTCGGGAATATTGTGCAACCCCCGGGTAACATTTTTCCCTTTTAATTTCAATGATTTGGTCGAGGCGCGCCTCTTTCCCGCTCTGCAGTCGCGATAACAACAACAAACAGCAAAGAAACAACAACAGACGAGAGAGGGAGAGCCTCCGCCACTATTTGCCGATATTCTCCATTATTTGGCGATTGGTGTGCGCTTGCTGCGCCAGCTGCTCGGCCTTGGCCATCTCGAGGACTTCTCGCAGCAGGTGGAAGGTCAAGTCCAGCGAGATGGGCGGCTCGTCCGACCTCTTCGCCGGACGCTCATCCGACTCGCCCAGGTCGCCGCCCTCCACCGCCCCACCAGCGCCTAGGCTCGCCACCTCTCCCGCGGCGAGGACCTGGCCCACGCGCCGTAGCACTTCGGCCATCCGATGCTCGTTCTCCTCGTCGGCCGTCGGAAGGACGCCGCCGGCCATCGTCTCGCGATGATACTTCATGCGCCTGAGCAGGCGCAGCAGGTGGTCGTGCAGGGACAGGTAGGCCACCTGCGAGGTGTCGATCTGCCTCGGGCTCTCGCCCTGCTGAGACCTGGGCTCGAGCATCTCGAGGAGTCGCGCCGAGTCGCTCTCCGGGAGCCCCGGGGCCCACGGCTCCTGCAGGGAGCGGCCCGTCGCCTCCGGGGCGCGGATGAGCACGAGCAGGGAGGCAGCGGCGAGGACGAGAAGGCTGGTGGATTTCATGGTCGCGGGCAGGTTCGAGGGAGCCTGGAGAACATTCAACGGGACGAGAGAGAGGAGAGAGAGAGGGAACATAGACATAGAGTAGGGAGAGAGGGGGTAGAGAGAGAGGGAAGGGGTAAGAAGAAGGAGCAGAGCTTTACATCTTTCGTGAAATTTAAACAGGGGGGGGGGGGTAGCACATAAAGCAAAGCATTTGAGAAAAACAACTAAAAAAATGAAATGATGAACGAAGCAAAGTGCCGACTACACCGAGCATCTTCTTGTTTACTCTGATCGTAAAGAGAGAGAGAGAGGAGAGAAGGAGGAGAGAGAGGAGAGTGAGAGAGGCGGCGCGTGTGAATTTAGGTCTGCAACGCCAGGGGCGTGCAAATGACACCGCGACCGCGGGTTGAGTGAGAGCGAAGCAGAAGGAGGTCTTCATAATTGTGGATGTCGCCTGACGAAGCCGCTTGTTGTAATCACCAGCGAAACTTCGTACTCGAATTTTAAATGCTGTGGGTTTAGTTTAACACGTAGGCTTTCGCGACCGATATGATTTATTCTTGATTTAATATTATTCATAATAAAGGTTCATGGGTTAGATCGCGTAAGTATACATGTTTCGTCGTAACCCTCCACCACCCGACACAGCCAGGAAGGTTTGTCACGTCAACAAAACGCGCCAATTATTTTACTACTTCAGCCCACCGCTGTGTTAGAGAGTAAATCCACAACATTTACAATTTGAGTAGTACAACGTTTCGCTGGTAATTACATCCAGCATCATCGGGCAATTTGCCAGAACATTCTGCTCGACACAACCTGACCGGCTGTGTCGGGTGGTGGAGGGTTACGACGCAACATTTATACTTAAGCGATCTAACCCATAAACCTTTTGTTGTGCGTTTACTCTCCCAACACACCGGTGTGCTTAAGTGGTAACTAATTGGCGCGTTCTGTTTACGTGACAAACCTTACCAATTGGCTGTGTCGGGTGGTGGAGGGTTTGACGATACATTCATACATTTGGCCTTCATTCTGGATATTGGCCCTGAAATCCTACGTGTTAAATTGGCTTTACGCCGTTGAACATAATCGCTTCATGCACGGAATTTTTTTTTTTATTTGAGAGAATGTTTAACTGGAGCGACGTTTGCGATTTTACCGAATAACAGCCTCCCCGTCTGCGCCGTGTCGGTTCACGGCGGTTTGTTTGGTCATGCTTCACCACGCTGGTATCAGTGCGGGCTGGTGAAGCTTGCCACGATATAACTGGCTTCATATTGAAGTGTAACATTACAACAATGATAATATTATAGTTTGAAGTTTTTTTTCGTTCACTGAAAACTTTGGGATCAAAAATCATTGAAACTCCCTCGCAGTCGAAACAACGCCATGCGATGTTTCCTCTTACTTTGTACAGTTATAAAGATCTCTCGTATGGCCTTAAACAGGCTGTTGGGGCAAGTGCGGTTAGGGAGCACCTATGAAGGCTGACGTGCCAGGCTGCCTTCGTCTTCCGAGTGACGACGTTTACACAACGCGCCAGGTACTCATTTGAGGCCGAATCTACTTAAGGGAGGCCCAGGACCGGTTCCAATATTCGCCACTGTTAGAAGCCGTTTGCGGGAATCGAACTTGGGTGGCCAGGTCGTAAATGCAGTGCGCCAACCACTGCTCCAACGCTCTCTCAGTGCATTCATTCACACGCACGTGTGCTAGCAACTCCGTTGCTTTTCTTCTAAATGCAACAAAGCATTCGCAAGGGGATTAAAGCTGCAAAGTTATCTCACGCTGCTTGATGTTCGCTAATAGGCTCTCACCAATTTTCACAGCAATCAACGCAAAGGATCGTGACTCTTCACGCACACGCGCGTGGATTGTTGGCATATGTTCACGTGAAACGTAACGTTCACACACACACACACCGACCGCACGTGACGACGTGGAGGGTACACACACTCGTCGCTAAAAAAACAAATTAAACAATGTCGTACGATATTTACTTTAACCATTGCAGCATGTGTTCAAGTGCAAGTACGTATTTAGGAGCAAATAGTTGGTCAAGCGTCTTTATATACACACTCTGCTTCTCTACGTGCTGTGAAGAAGGGCCGTTGGCCGAAACGTCGTCTCTTACATACTTTGTTTTCTATTCGGATCGTCCAATAAAGTTGTGGGTAGGTCCGTCAGGTCCGTGCCATGAATCAAGCACACGCTTGAAAATACTGTATATGTTTCTGGTAGCCCACGCGGGGATAGACACGAGCGGTTGGGTATAACTACCTCCTCTGCCTGTCTCTTTCGCAGTAGACGTCTCACCAAATTCCAAAAACCCCCAAGGTCGCTGTGGTGAATTTGCCAATCACTGAGCGGGTCAGTGGGGGCTAAGCTCTAAGCGCTGTCCAATTCAGAACCACAATTCACGCTGTCCAAATCAGCACCTCCAACCACGCTATCCGCATCAAATTGATCGCGCGGGTTTTCTATCGGTATCGCGAGCCCTTTGCTCGGACTTTTTCTTTAGGGAAAGAGGGGATGGGGTTAGTCATTCATTCGTTTGATGTAACTTTTGCCAATCTATCCAGCTTCGTGAAGTATATTATAATCTTCAACCCCCTCACCACCGCTACGACGTAGAAATGCCCTCATATAGCAGTGGAGTGACACAAAAAAATACTTGCACATGTGAATGTTGTAACGTTGTGTAATTAAGCCGCAGATGTTTACTGTATTGCTTTGTGAATAAACATCTCCCTTGAAACATACGTCAGGCCTCACTAGGCTCTCACCTGGTTTATATAAATGGCAACAAACGCATATACGCTTGAGCTGTGCATCATTATCGCTCGGAGTTCCGTCGCGTGAAAAGGTTAGAAAACAAACGCTCTTCAATAACGTACAAGGTTGTGACTTCCTTATCCACACAATATTAAAGGCGTCGATCAATGTTGAGTATGCGTCAATGAGAATGTAGAAAAGTAGGTGATGTGGTTAAGCATACATTATATTATTTTCAAGCAAGTTACCGTCATTATTCCCGATTCACATGGTGTTGCTTGGTTGTAAAAAAAAAAGTGCACGCAATCCGCCACGATGTCCTATTTTGAAGGCACGAGTACTAAAATGCAAGTAACGCGTTCTCTCCAAACGTTGCAAACAAATATTGTATACCGTGCGACGCGATTAACTTTATAAAACCGCTCACCTCCTTCCTTTCCACGTTGTGGATGGAGTGGGGGGGGGAGTCGAAACTTGTCGTTTGATGGTCGCGATTTGTGAGCCCTCTTCCTTCACGCGAAATCGCGTCTCGGCAAGCTCGGAGCGTGGATTAAAAGAGCGCAAGGCGCGGGGAGACGCGGGCACTTATACCAGCAGCAGCAGGGTACAGGGGACGGACGAGTGACGCCACCGCCAACCACCACCAGCGCTTGTACGCACCCGTGGCAGGCTCGCTTTTAAATCAAAGAATTCGTCATACATATTTCATTTGACCCCCCGGAGGAGTGCCATTTCCACACATTAGGGGAACACACACGCGCCTATTAACAAATAATAACTGTAACACCTGTTCGGTGATGCACAAGTGTGAGTGGCAATATCTACACTGCATGCACAGCTGAACTTCCCGGCTTTTTCATTTACAATCAAGTTTTGGGTGTGGCATTGCTTTGGAAGGAGTCAATGTTGCAATTGGGTAAAGTTAATTTTCATTTTACAAACGTAGTCGTGGGAAAATAAGTTTAAGAGCTGCAGTGTAAGTACAAAGGCTCCCTTGTTGTGTTTGTGCAGCATTCACTACGTGACGGATAATTACGGTAAGACTTATCAAGATATTTCAGGAATTCGAACTTATCGTCGCTTTGATAACTGCCTCATTTGCTCTTGCATTATTAGCACGTGCAGTTTTGAAAAAAAAATCACTGTTTACTAAAAACTTTGCATCTTCAATTTGGAACTGTTTGACTTATGGTTTGTTGTAGGGATGCGTGTTCGGGTAAGCTAATCACCAAATATGAAAGATGCATTTAAAACACTGGACAGAAGACGATATATCCAATTACATGGCTATTAAAGCAACATTAGCGATGTAAGTGAAAAAGCATCAAAAATACAAACAAAATTGATGATCGCATTTGCACCGACCAAACAACAAGGTACAAATTAATTTCTCAGAATATTTGCAGCCCATGTTCATAGGTACATTGTTTTTTAAAGGGAAATTGACTTTAATCAATCTCCCCGCAATGAATAACGTCTGTTTTGTATGCTACACACATTCATTAACGCAGGGCACACTAATAACGCTTTTTGGCAATTACAGCTTCTGATTCGATGTTTACATGTGGAGCCGACATCTGTATAGGCTACAATTGCTTAAATGAGATCTCAGGTGAGTTAGAGCAAAATGCTGCAGTGATTAATTTAAACATATTCTTAGCTCTTTCGGTAAAGTCACGTTGAAGGGAAACAATAAAATAATAAAATATATAAAACAATAAAAATTCTCACGTTTCGACCATAACACAAACGGTCGTCATCACCTGATGACGACCGTTTGTGTTATGGTCGAAACGTCGTGAGAATTTTTATTGTTTTATATATTTTATTATTTTATTGTTTCCCTTCAACGTGACTTTACCAAAAGAGCTAAGAATATGAATTACTGCAGTCACGAAAGCTTTAAATCAAAATTTAATTTAAACATGTAAAAGTTATCCGAAAAAAGTTTTACATCATCCTAAATTATTTCGTGAACATTTCCTCCAAAGTTCCGTTATTTTTCTCAGTTTTGAACAAATAAAGAATTCCTATTATACATTTGTAAACTGAAACCTATCGAAAAAAATGTTTTAACTTAGGGGGAGGGGACTCCGAAAATGTCATAGATATAATTATTATAATAAACACTATCACGCACATTCTCAGCGTAAAACGAGCATAATTTCTTTTTACACCAATAACATTCTTGAAAGTACCCAACCGACCATATACTAAATTGACAATATTTTTTTTTATTTAAAGCTTTCGTGACTGCAGGGATTCATATTCTTGGTTCTTTCGGTAAAGTCACGTAGAAGGGAAACAATAAAATAATAAAAATATAAAACAATAAAATTATCACGACGTTTCGACTGCAACACAAGCAATCATCATCAGGTGTGAAAACCACAACAAGAACATTTTTGTTTTATATTTTTATTATTTTATTGTTTCCCTTCTACGTGACTTTACCGAAAGAACCAAGAATTTGACATTTGTTTTAGTTTACGATGAAATATTTCCTACTTATCACGAGACACTGGGGGGAGGAGGGGGTGTGGAGAGACACGGGAGCCCTGTTGGCCATCGTAAAGCAGCAGCAGCATCTCTGGTGGGTTGACCTCACGATGAAAAAAGTTCGCTTTGCTAAACCAATTTTTTGCAAGGATCGGATGAAGTTCAGAGCATGGCAGACCAAATAATAACCGGAAATAAAAAAAACCACATCAAAGAATGGGCACACAGTTTTGCCCTGTTGGGTTACCGTCAAGATTCACGCTGAGTAGAGGAGAGGGATCATCGAAGAGGCATTTGCAAGGGCACCCGCAAAATGATCGCTGTAGCGAAGGGAATGCCAATGATGAACAATGCGTGGTTTTCTACCGTCAGAAAACGCATTGAAGTTTTACGTGTAATATTTTTGTAATACATAAATTAGAATTCATCAACGGTACTTGTAATACATACATTAGTTTGTCAAAATTAAAATGCCTGCTCAATTGTTTCTATTAAAAAATAACCTTAATCGATTTACGTAGAGAAAGCAAAATGTGTTCCCTCACTTAGCATGTCGGCTTTCGTGACCAATGTCACAATTCATAATTGTTTTTGGTCACATCGAGTATGTAACATGTGTGCGTGTTCGACACACATGCTACTTACGTGACCTAACCCAACCATCACATACGAACCTGTTCCTCCAATGTGTTCATAGTAACTATAATACACATCCAAATAAATTGCAGATTTAAAGGTGGTTCGTCCAACAATGGGGTTAAATAGTTTTGTCTAAATTTGATGACAAAATCCGAAAGTTATCATTTTTTATTGCTACACTTTAACACGCAGTACAACCCGAAAATTCGTCGCCGGAGCAAATGGACTGGGAAGAGAGTACGGTGGAAAATGAAAGCGATGGCCCAGCACGCAAGTGATGGGACGCTATTTGGTCGCCAGAATCGACCCAGAGCTTCTGAAAATCGGGGGACGACAAATGAATAATTTAAGTCGATGACGAGCAGTGACCACTCTCTACAGGGGAAACATCTCGTGTTTGCTAAGATGACCATAAGGAAGGAGGAGGGTCTATTGAAGACATTTTAAGTGGCGTCCTGATGCATTCTGCGGCCGTTTGTTGAAGATGGTAAGCTCTACTCAAGTGTGGAATGTCATACATTTTTTTATATGCTAAGATGTATCGGTACTACTTGGTTCAATCATGTAATAATTACAACACTCGGGCAATCTACTGCTGAATGGTCTCCAGTGCCTTGTCAGTCTCCTAGGGGTAGTTTGGCCATACTTCACCATTGTGTAGGTTAGTGAAGGGGATGCCGCGAACCGATTTGAATATCACTCGCCACCGATGTTAGCCATGGCTGGGAATTTAATTCAGGTAACCAGGTTCATAATGAACTGCATTCGCACTCCCCAGTTTTCAATGAAGTGTAATTACTACTGCATTCAATTCAATTTATTGCATCAAATATCACTTATTCTTAGATATAATCACAAACCTTGTACACAGGAGGCTTAGTAAACAAGTTATTATTTATACGCATTGCATCAAATGTCATCTGTTCATAGATTTAAATAAAATCTCACAGTGGCTTAGTAAACGGCATTGCGAGTTACTTTAAAAGCAAAGCTGAAACGCTGTTCATTCATGCAAATCTTAAAACAAAAGGCGATAACAATGGAGGCACACACCATCTGTTCTTAATGCTTGAAAACAATCGTAACTTCGAGACACCTCTTGGGTCAACAGTGACCTGTGACATCTAAAATGAAGTGGCTGCCAAGCTGGCACTGCTGAGATCCTGAGAATGAATCCTGGGGTTCTGCTGCCCATTTTCTCAAGCGTACTTAGTTGATGGTCACCCAGTGACTGCACACTAAAAGCCATTATATTCAATATGGTTTTGCATTCGATTTGACTAAATTGCAGCTCTAGGAAAAACGTTATATTTGTTGGACCGTTATGTAACAATCTCACAGCAAAGCCTTTGGGAAAGTGAAGGCCCCCCCCCCCTTACTGGGCAGATGTTGAAAAGGCCACTTGAAAGATTTTTGCACGTCTTGTGAAAACCCCTTTTTGCGGCCAACTAGCTATCAGACTCATAGGGCGCACTGCTCTGCGAGATTTCCACACGGATTATTTTTCTCGTGACATTTATTTGCAAACATTGGGGGGTAAAAAAAAAACCCTAAATAATTATTCATAGAACAAAATCAATACCAACAATTGTAAGCATTTGTTTAAGGTGGGCTTTGCTGTACGTAACAATGTGGATGCATGCACATCAATTCCATTCTGGTCGGTGCAATCAGCATTATGGGATGAGCTACTTGTTAGATGACGTTACGGCGTGGCGTCTTCATAGGCAATATACCGCGAGTTGTAATGGCATTGCACAGGTCGTGAATTACTTTGTGATGGCAAATGAAGCACAATTGTTAAGAGGTAAGGCTTGAACCAGAGAAGACTTATTTCTTGTTGGATTTCCACGAAAGGTAGACATTCCAAATGAGCGCTACGCACTGCACCACAGCAAGCCTGCAAACAACACAGAAAAAAAACGCATTCGGCACCACTAAATAATTAGAAGCGGGGAGAGATTAATGTTTGAAACTACACTGGCCATCGTAATTACATGGCAGTCAAGGTACAAAGTGACGCATGTATTTGCCAGATGATTTTAGTTTACTAATGCACTCCTTCATAATCGCCGTGAACTCTCCCACACCTCAATGAGGCCAACTACGTCACAATTGATTTCTCTCGATCGTGTCACCAGGTTGACGAGGTTTGATTCTTCGCGTATATTCCCGTACACTGTACGTAGCCATGGTCAGATGCAGACGGCATCCTTCTTCTTCTTTAACCCAGCGATCCTTACCATACCTACTCCTACTCCTATCTTCCCACCATCGTGTTTGATGAAATCAGTCGCAGGTTGCCTGAGGCTCAACTATCGTTGGTGGAGAGATAAGTGATCATACTTCACCACGATGGTCTCTACAACCATCAGGCAAAGACCTTCCAGCTAACATGAAGGCCGCGAGAGATGACTGCAAAAGCTGGCGGCAGCTTGGGGAAAACTTTATCCGGCAGTGGATAAATCACGGCTGATGAAAATAACGAACGCCCCGCAATATTATTCATTCAAATTGTCAAGAATGTTAATAATCGTGCTTTTGATCTTTATACAAAAGCCACTATGCCCTCCGGTTGTCAAGCTCACAACTCGGCCAAAAAAAAGTAAGCTAAAACAATTAATGACGCGCAAAATTTCAGGAAAAGGGAAGAAGATAATTTCCCGTCCCGACCCTGGAGGCGCAGGGCCAGGCTCAGGGTCCCTGTTCGTACGGCCGACGAAGCAAGACGAGCCGGGACTTTCGACCGTCCTGGAAAAGAAGCGGTGTGGATTTGAAGCCGCTGCGGACGGGGGTAGCGGGGGGATGAAATTCCAAGCGTTTGGAGCAGCCACGGGGTAACGGCGCGAACGGCCGGGTGGTCTTCGTTCATGGGACAGCGAGCGAGCCGTTGGGACGAGGTCCTTGGTGCCGCGGGGTTGACTGAGGCCCGCGTTTTGAGGACGCTCAGACAAAACTATTGAACTCTTTCAGCCAAGACTATTTATCATAATATAGGTTGTTGGGTTAGATCGCGTAAATATGAATCTATATTTAATAGAAATCTATATTTATTTGTATTTACATCTGGCCACGGTGGCCAGATGTGGAAGATAATGTGGAAGGCCGTTGATGATGTTTATTAATATTCGAGTCAATGAATCCGGACTTGGAAATATCGTAAGCAAAAGTCGTGCCAGTGTTGTTGATGCCCTGATGCCGAGCGGACAAATGTGGTGCGTGCGTGTACGCGCGTGCTAAATGCGTTTGCATTTTTGTGCTTTGTTACAAACTTTTTGTTACATGGCCAGAAGTTTGGGGGGCCTACAAAACACAAACTTTTACGATACGTTGCACGCATTCATCTGTAGCAATCCTCGGAGGTAGCAGAACCTATTAAACAGCTTCACTTGAGATTAAACAATCGATAGTCTGTGGTCTTACAACCAGATATCATCGATCGCGAGCTCCCCATAGACTGGCCATTGTAATGGATCAGCTCTATATATAGTCTCCAGGTGCTGGTGTCATTCTGCTGTGTGCATGTAATTTGCCTGGTCTGGGAAGGGGAGGAGAACGCTTTTGAAAAATCTCAATCTGTGGATTTTTAGGCGGCTACGGATGACCAACTGCACACTGCGATGCTCACAGAGTTGGCAACAGGTGAGGTCAAGCCATGGACAATGTTCAATACCTCACCGGTGAGAACAAAGTTGTCCCATTCCCACACACTTATTAATGTGCACTGTCGAGAGTTCAGCCGCTAAGTTCATAATAATCTGATTAATGACTATATAATGTGAATAACAATTTGGATTTTTTTTTGTTTGCAATTTGCAAATCCACTGCTGAACAAAAGCCTCCCCATACTGCAGCTACCACGGCGTTATTTGACCATACGTCATTACGTTGGTCAGTGCGGGTTCAGAAGAGGCGACTGCCAAATCACCTGCCACTGATGTCAGCCGTGGGTGGGAATTGAACCCAGGTTGCAGGGATGTCTGCCCTCTCCTGTTAATAATGTGCACAATAACGATGTTCGGCATTTTATTCAGTTTGAGTGAAGTAGTTTTGGCTGTGGGTTTTATACAAATGTTGCGAAGCAAGTCTGAAACGCAACACCTGGACTCACATCAGTGATGCACAAAGCAATTACTCAACATCAATACACGCACAATCGAGCACAAGTTAATTCAGGCACCGTAATAATTTTTCGTATATTTAGAAAGTAAAAATACATTTTAAACGATCATACTATCATTGTAAGTCTATAACATAATTCAGAACTATTCAGCGAGTCAATAGATTTTTTTTCATGTTAAGTTGCTTAAATAAAATTGCGGGGATTTCTTCAAAAATGTGCGTGGTTACAAACCTGTGTTGTAACGGAATAAAGTAGAAGTTTGCTATTTGGACAGCTGGCCATATCTGTAACAAGATGGTAACGACGTTATTAGTACCATGATCATCAACAGCAACCATGATCGATCACAGCAAGTATAGATGTCACAGAGGTCAACATTGCCTCTCAAGAGTATCAAGAAAGCAAAAGCTCCGGGACCAGATTATATAACTTTTGGACATCTTCCAAAGGGTGGGGACCATTTGTAGGAACACAATTAGTGGAGCTATGTATTACATGTAGACAGTCACGAGATAACTAAATCATTGGAACACAATTAGTGGAGCTATGTATTACATGTAGACAGTCACGAGATAACTAAATCATTGGAATGCAACATTGATCATTCGTGGAGGCCCGTAGCGGCACGTGGCGACCCACAGACTCAAGGAGAGCCTTAAGATTGATATGCGGGACCACGAATTCACAGAGACCCTTAGATTGATATGCGGGACCACGAATTCACAGAGACCCTTAGATTTATATAGTGGACCACGAGTTCACGATGTGGTTCACTGTTCTCGTGCGCCGCAGTCACGTGTGGCAAGATTCCTTTTATTGTCCATTTGTGAAGGAGATGACCGCAGCTGCCATGGGCGAGGCGGATACCATGCGAGGCAGCAGCAGTTTCGCTGCTTGCAGGGAGGTGGGCGGTGAGCTTTCAGATGGCTCGGTGGTGGTGATTGGATGTTCAGATGAGGGGCTTATTTAGGATGATGTTTGCATTCTCTCAACTGTTCTTCCATAGGCGTTCGATCCTGCCAAGTGGTCGGCTGACCACTACTAATAAGGGGGATGTCTCGAGTCTCTTGGAGCACAGAGGTGGAATATTAATACGACAAAAAGAGACCGAAATGTATTTTTTAAATGTGATTTTAAATGCAAGCTTTTGGAGGATAACTATTTTCGAAAGTAGGGCTCCTTTCAACTTACTCGTTCGGCCTATTCAGAAGCCGAAACGGCGAGTTGACGCGCCTTCATTTAGCCGTCTTATAACTCGCTCCCAAAAAAACAGCAAACGGACGGAGAGGGCAACGACCGTCTCTCGTACACTCTGTACGTGCGCGCAGTAAGAATATACAGGATATGCCGATCCGGCACCGCGCGTCACGGAAGCCACACGGGGGACCGGCCCCCCGTGTGTCTGGGGCGGGTAAGGGGGGGGGAGTTGCGGGGCCGTGCTCTCTCTCTCTCTCTCTCATCAGCGAGGCCACCCGCGCTGAACGCGGTAGCTCCGCGCCGGGGTCACTGCGACAGTGTGAAGCGCCAAGCTGCTCCGCTCGCCCCGCTCAAAAAAAGGACACGCGCGTTACGTCACCGCCGCAACTCCCCGCTTGAGGTCAATGGTTTCGCTTCACGGCGCACCTCCGCATTGGCACGGTCGGCTACGCACGGCGCAAAAGAAGTTCAACATGCACACGCGTACACAGAATATGTTTACGACTGAAGAGCTGGCGGGATGAGGGCTCTCTCGCCACGGATCACCAGCGGTGCACACAAAGATTTGGTGCCCTCTCGTCGATTTGCTCCACACCAGACCGCTCACCAGCCACCCCTCTTCATGTCCTCCGGTGTTTCCCTCCACATTTACAATCCACGTGCGTCGAGATTATTTAAGATGAATTTGCTGCGATAAACCTCCACGTGATGATCAGCCACTACGTCGAGCTATCACTTGTGGCCAGGTCGCTTGTGAAAAATAACCTAATAGCTCAGTGGGCTTTACCTGGTAAGACAGAAATACTTTAGTTATATTTGTAGATTTTTGAAAGTGATTTGTTTACCTTTATTCTACTTTGCATTTCTCCTCGTGATTTTCAACGGTTTTATACCTAACTTGACTCCTGTGTCGTGGTCAAATCTTGTAATAAAAATTTCGTCCACTTCCCGCTGTCCAATCAATTCCACATTTTGCGCACGTACTCAGATTCGGTGACAATGCATTGCCTGTATCAAAATCGGCATCAATGAATAAATTAATTTGCTACTTTAAAGCAATTAACATTTTGTATGGCGCCACGCGTCTCAGGCTTCCACGCGTCTCAGGCTTCCACGCGTCTCAGGCTTCCACGTGTCTCAGGATTCCACGTGTCTCAGGATTCCACGCGTCTCAGGCTTCCACGCGTCTCAGGCTTCCACGTGTCTCAGGATTCCACGTGTCTCGGGCTTCCACGCGTCTCAGGATTCCACGTGTCTCAGGCTCCACGTGTCTCAGGCTTCCACGTGTCTCAGGATTCCACGCGTCTCAGGCTTCCACGTGTCTCAGGATTCCACGTGTCTCAGGCTCCACGTGTCTCAGGCTTCCACGCGTCTCAGGCTTCCACGTGTCTCGGGCTCCACGTGTCTCAGGCTTCCACGTGTCTCAGGCTTCCACGTGTCTCAGGCTTCCACGCGTCTCAGGCTTCCACGTGTCTCAGGATTCCACGTGTCTCAGGCTTCCACGTGTCTCAGGCTTCCACGTGTCTCAGGCTTCCACGTGTCTCAGGCTTCCACGTGTCTCAGGCTTCCACGTGTCTCAGGCTTCCACGCGTCTCAGGATTCCACACGTCTCAGGCTTCCACGTGTCTCAGGCTTCCACGCGTCTCAGGCTTCCACGCGTCTCAGGCTTCCACGCGTCTCAGGCTTCCACGTGTCTCAGGCTTCCACGTGTCTCAGGATTCCACGTGTCTCAGGATTCCACGTGTCTCAGGCTTCCACGTGTCTCAGGCTTCCACGCGTCTCAGGCTTCCACGTGTCTCAGGATTCCACACGTCTCAGGCTTCCACGTGTCTCAGGATTCCACGTGTCTCAGGCTTCCACGTGTCTCAGGCTTCCACGTGTCTCAGGCTTCCACGCGTCTCAGGCTTCCACGTGTCTCAGGATTCCACACGTCTCAGGCTTCCACGTGTCTCAGGATTCCACGTGTCTCAGGCTTCCACGTGTCTCAGGCTTCCACGCGTCTCAGGCTTCCACGCGTCTCAGGCTTCCACGTGTCTCAGGATTCCACGTGTCTCAGGATTCCACGTGTCTCAGGCTTCCACGCGTCTCAGGATTCCACGCGTCTCGGGCTTCCACGCGTCTCAGGATTCCACGCGTCTCAGGATTCCACGTGTCTCAGGCTTCCACGCGTCTCAGGCTTCCACGTGTCTCAGGATTCCACGTGTCTCAGGCTTCCACGTGTCTCAGGCTTCCACGCGTCTCAGGCTTCCACGTGTCTCAGGATTCCACGTGTCTCAGGATTCCACACGTCTCAGGATTCCACACGTCTCAGGCTTCCACGTGTCTCAGGATTCCACGTGTCTCAGGCTTCCACGTGTCTCAGGCTTCCACGCGTCTCAGGCTTCCACGTGTCTCAGGCTTCCACGTGTCTCAGGCTTCCACGTGTCTCAGGCTTCCACGTGTCTCAGGCTTCCACGCGTCTCAGGCTTCCACGTGTCTCAGGCTTCCACGTGTCTCAGGATTCCACACGTCTCAGGCTTCCACGTGTCTCAGGATTCCACGTGTCTCAGGCTTCCACGTGTCTCAGGCTTCCACGCGTCTCAGGCTTCCACGTGTCTCAGGCTTCCACGCGTCTCAGGCTTCCACGTGTCTCAGGCTTCCACGCGTCTCAGGATTCCACGTGTCTCAGGCTTCCACGTGTCTCAGGCTTCCACGCGTCTCAGGCGTGCCTGCTCCGTGTGAACGAGTTACGAGCACCCTCACTCCACATTCATTTATAAAGTAATCGACTAATTCAAGTAAGCGTTGATGTGGGAGCAGGCGCCGCATCATTGACGTACTTCTCGACCGTGAGTTAAACGAAGTTGTGAATAAAAGCGTTGTTTAAAAAAAACTTTTTTAAAGGAGTTTTTCTCTGTCCATCCTGCCTCTCTCCCGCTTCTCTCCCGCTCCCTAGGCCAGGTCACCGCTGGTTATCACTACGATCACACGTGGAGTTCACGTCGATCACTCAGAGGATCTATAACCAAGTTACTCGAGTTCGTTGTTGCGGTTGTTGTTGTTCTTGGAATGGGGAGAGGTAAATAAACAAAATAACTGTGCATTTCTTATAAATTCTTTCCAACTCCACCCCGTCCGTTGCTTTCAAGCGGCCTGGATGCGTGGTTCCACATGTACATACTCACGTAGTAATTGGCCGTCAGTGTGTCTCGGTAATCCTGCAAGGGCGAGAGAGAGAGAAGAGAGAGAGCAGACGAAAAAACACGACTCAAAAATATCAACGTCGTGGCAAGCCCAGACAATTTGTATGTAAATTGCAAGGAAGCGCAAACAGGTTTTCCCCGATATTGATGATATGGAGATGAGCACATTGCAGGGTGCGTCCGGTGGCGAAAACCTGAAGGTGGCAAGCACCGAGAGCCAATTTTATCTCGGCGATTTGACGTCAGACGGTTAATTAACGGTGCGAAACCGCGCCGAGATCACAGTCCTTTACGGGATTCTTTTTTTACTGGCGGGAAAAAGTGTGACCGCGTGTAAAATTGAATTGCACTGGCAGCCGCGGAGAAAAGCCCAATTAGCATTTTTATTGTTAATTAGGACAAACAACAAAGCCAACCAGGACCCGGCCGTCCGTCCCGGTGTGAATACTGATCAGAGCAGAGCGCCGTGCCGCTCTTCAGACGCCACTTCATTACTTACTCTACAGCGGAATTCTGTGGCACAAAAATACATTTGAAAAAGTTTTAGAAAAAAATCACGTACAAAACGTGCTTCCAAATGCAAATTAGTATAGACCCCGGCGAACGAGCACTAATTAGCGTCATGTAAAACCGTGACACTCTAATCCTTGCATGGGCACAGGGTGACGCATTGAGGGTCACTAGTTTGTACATGCGGCAGAGGCTTTTTTACGCTATTTAGCAAGCAGGCTCCCCCCTACCCACCCCCACACAGCCACTTGTAAAACAAGTCGTTCAGATTTTTTGCCACACACTACCGCGGGCATCTTCAACTCCTGCCGTGAGCATCTTCAACCCGTGCGGACGCACGGCGAGTAGTGGCGGTGCGAGAGCTCGAGGTGAGGAAATCCTCATCCACAATACGGGTTATTTTGGGTTAGAGCGCGTAAATATAAATGTTCCATTGAACCCTTTAAAACAAGCCGCCGAACCCCGAAGGCCGCACTTATTTTGCGCAACTTATTCCGACACGCCCGTCGAGGGGTACCAGCCACGACGATAGCGCTGCAGGAGAGAGCTCGTGTAGTTTAGCTTCGCCCGCCGCCGTCAAAGGGGGGCAAAGACTACTCTTGGTTTCCTCTGTGGTCCACAGGAGTGCTTTGCTCGGCCACAATCGCACTAACTGTGCTTCTTGCACCGTTGCATTCTGGGGACAGTCCCCCACGTGAACACTCGCATTATCCACAAATCTGGCTGTCGCCTGATTATGCTAGTTGTGATAACTGGCGAACCGTCGTACTCGAATTGTAGATGTTGTGGGTTTACTCTCCAACACACTGCTGTGTTGTACTAGTAACGATTTGGCATGTTTTGTTTACGTGACAAACCTTACTAAGTGGCTGTGTCGGGTGGTGGCGGGTTTTTACGACAAATTTATATTCACACGATCCAACCCACAAAAAAAACCTCTTATGGATGATATTGGTCACGAAAGCCTATGCGTTAAACTGACTCACATGCTATTTTGCGCACTGAATGTTAAATGAGCCGTAGCATACATATATACGAAGTACCTTAAGGCTAGTGCATCAGCAACGGCGGGTTTCAAGGGACCGCAAGGAATTATTAAAATGTTATTGCACGTTAACTGGCAGGAAAATGTTTTAAACATTTTGCGCTCACAGCTAAAATGGTTCATGACTTCAAAGACATATTTAAATTTTTCTCCATTATTCCAAAACGTTCCAAGGGAATCTTTGCAAAATTAGAATTTTTTTTTACTAAACATCAGCTGACAATGCGTGACAAAACACTGACTTGAAATCGATGGCTTGCAATCAATGAGAATCAATAGGAAGCTATTTAGAATCTTGCTGAACTCTGTATATCAGGGATAAGTCATGCACCTCAGCCAGAGGCGGCGGGCGGGGGGGGGGGGAAAGACCCGACAGGTTTCAACGGATGTAGATTCAGCGAGGCCAGCCAAGGCAATCCACCGTTAAGCAAACTCGGGCAAAAACACGGGGGGAGGGGGGGGGTGGCGGTCAATACGGCAGTGGGGGTGGTCACACGTGCACATGTGGCAAAGGACGAAGATTAGAACATGAATAAGTAAGTCGCGTTCAAACGGTTAGGGTGACGCAAGTGATCAGGTCGGGGAAACTCGAGCAGTCCGATAAAGGTTGACGGTGTCCATCAAAAGCTCGGGACAAGTGGAGAGATTCTTCAAGGCATCGATGGGGCATTGGGACGTCGCGTTCGGTGGCATTTCAATCCTGCAGCCTTGTTAGTGGAGGGTGGGCAAACAAGTGGGATGAGTGGCAATTTGCCCCCGGCTTCACACAATAGAGGGCCCCACAGCCAGGCCTCTTGTCACGAATTAGTAAGGGGGGGGGGGGGGTCCCCAAGTGGCATTCGGCCCCGGGCCTCCATCCCTGGGCCTCCGGGAAGCTCTGGGCGCGCTCCGCTTGTCAGTGACTTACTTGGTTGGACACCATTAAGCCTGATAATGAATTTCCATAGATGGTAAGAAGCCTAAGGACCCCACGTTGACAGGGAGAAGAATATTGAATGGAGCGGTTTCTACCATAGGTCACCCTGCCACCGCGGCGGCGTGATTGATGAAAGTGACGTGCACCGTGCACGCGATGCAGTGTGCGGGCCGGAGAAGCCGAGCGCGAGGCATCCGCACAACGCATCTGTATACACGGCACAGTGGCAACAAATGAACCACAACGCCTTGCTGATCTCGTCAAGGAGCACAAGTCATCGTCACGTGAAATCCGGTCATCCTCGCAGCAGCAGCGGCGGCTTTTGGCTAACCGTCGAACAAAGACATTTACCGCATCGCGCACTTTCAGATGCGCTTCTGTGGACGTCTGGAATCGCTCTTCATTCCGATTTTAGGAAGCCACTGGAGCTATGCACCTTTAAATCTAGTTTGAAAACGAATTTCTTTAGAACTGCTTTTCGTGTTTAGTTTGTGTCCATTGCCCCGCGCCTCCGACTAGCACGGTTGGCTATGTATGGCGCGAAAGAAGTTCAGAATACACAGGTATACGAAACACTTGCGCCGCCGTACAGCAAGAAGGCCGAGTTTCATTCCCAGCTCGGGAACCCTTCTGGGTGCACGAGGCTCTGCATGGCTCTCCGACCGGTTCTACGTTTTTCCGCGCATAGCTAGAAAAAAACGTACATACGTGTGTTGGACTTCTTTCACGCCGTACGTAGCCAAACCGTGCTAGTCGAGGATGCGGGGGAAGGTGCGGCAAACTAAAGACGAAGAAGCAGTTCTAGAGAAATTATTTTTCAATGCTAACTGTAACATCACAATGCTGAAAAATGACCTGCAAATTACTCAGTTGGGATTACACATTGCAACATAAAATAACCCCAATCAGGGGGCAATCGTATTTAATGGGTTTAGAGGCCGCAATGAAAGCTGCGTTACACGCGCGATCTTTTAAACTCTCAAATAATAGCGCTGGGAGTAAAACATTCGCGTTTCGTGTGGATAAGCATGTACCGATTATAATTATAGAAGTTAAATCAATGGTAGGGGTAAGAGGGTGTCGGGGGCAATGAGAGACGGTGGCAAGGCTAGCGTCGGTTCATTGCACATGCCGGCGTGTGTATCACAAACACGTGTAAAACAAAAATCCATAGGGTCGCCCAATAAATCATCATTAGCAGCAGCAGAAGCATTTGCCTACCCGCCCCTGGGTGTAAATATGGTCGTGGCTGTGCTGTAAAGCTATACGGTGTTGTGCAACGTGATGTTCAGCACGGTGTCCAACGTTTCGCTCCCAGCATGTGCAGCAAAGCCTCGGGCATGATTTTACAGCACATTTCTGATTATAACTGTCCAGCGAACGCATTTAAAACATATGCAAAGAAGAACGTATACCTTTTTTTTATCCGTCCAATACATTTTTCTTTCCAATTTTATTCCAATAAACGTAATTTATTGCAAGAGATTTGGAAACCTGGAGATGCGTGAAGGGGACAATGTCACTCGAGAGGTGTTTGTGAACTGCACTTGTCGAATGTGGGCACGAGAATGAATGGAACCAGCCACATGGCTCAGTGGTAGAGCTAAGCGGCTCGCAAACTCTAAAGGTGGAAAGTACAAACCCTGGTTGGGGGTCTCACTCAACCCATCGTTCCCCCGAGGTGGACGAAGCGGGTGCCACTTTGTGGCGGTGGTCAACAGGGGTTGTCCTATGGACAGACTCGCCTCTAGCATAGGAACGGGGAATTTCCACCACTGGCTCAGGACCATAAACAGGAGATGAGCATCGCCTCAATGGTGAACTTGAGAGCAAGCATTCACGGGGCAATTCAGATTTACAAACACAGACACAATTTCAACCGAGAGGATGGTTTCACATTAAGCAACCATTGGAAAGATGTTCTGAATCAAACCAAACATTAAACTAATTTTCAATGGTACAGTATATTTTTTCAAGTAGTGGTATCCCAAACTTTCGCAGCTGCTTAAATTCCTTTTTCACACCATCAATATGTAAACTCCCCCCTCCCCTCCCCCCCTCGCCGACCTGCACATGTTCACCCCCTCTACACCGTTCATCATGCTAAGTCCGCCAATTAAATGATAATTTTTATGCTAATTCCTTTGTCAAGGCGCTCTGTTTCCTCTCACACAGTTTAAAGGTCGCGGTCTGAGCTTGGCTGTGTTCACTCCAGCGCTGTCCTCTAGACGGTCTGGTCCCTTTACCTGATGAAGGCCGCTTGTGTTGTGGCCGAAACGTCGTGATTTTTGTTGTTTTATTTTTTACCTACGTGACTTTACCGAATAGAACCAAAGAGTAAGAATTATCCTGTTGACTTATGCGGGGGGCTGACATGTGGGACAATATCCTACGAGGGTCAAGCTGGAGATGTGATGAAGAAGATCCTGCAGAGTGAAAAAGTATGGGGGAAGAGGAAGGAAACGCATCAGCTGGTGGGACAATGTCAGCAGTTGTACGAAACTCTCTCCGTGAGAAATGCTGAACTGTACGATTTTATTTACC